AATATCACGGCAGTTAGAGTTTATCATAATCATTCCCGCCGTCATGGTGGGTTGATTTATGAAGCCCCCGATATTTTCCATGAGCTACATGTAAATGACCGTTTCTAAGTTCATGAAACGACTGGCATAGAAAACTTCCTATAGACATTCTGTCCTGGTTTTTTCATGAATTTTTCCAGGAGTATCTAGCTAAACAACTTGAATATCAAAACCATGTCAACCTTGTCGCCAACTTGTCCGGCACAGCACAGCACGACGCTGTCCGTCGCCTGATGGCGACGGGTGCAAGCATCGCCCACTTGCCCAGCTACAACCAGCATACTGAAGGTGATATTTGTTCGATTTCAAGGGAATTTCAGTTGACATCGAGCGGTGACAGAAACATGTCTCTAACTAGCAGTTCTGACGAAGAAGTTGTCATTATAGTGGCCGCATTATTGAATGTAGAAGAAAATAGTCACAAAAAAGAAGGATGTGGGTCCATCCTATTGAAATCAAATCAAAAATTAAAACATGGCAAATCTGGGAGAGTTTCATCATCTTTTCAACCACCTGAAAGAAGAGGACGAGAGAAATTTTTCCAGCATTTCCGAATGACTCCAGGCAAATTTTCAGAACTTCTGGATATTCTAGAACCTGTCTCAACAAGCACCTCAATTTTCCTCGTCCATTTTCATAGGTACCCTCTGACACCGTGCTGTCAACTGATGGAATTGCAAAACAGATACAGAAACTGTCCAGGCACATTTGGACAAGTTGATGCTGGCAATCACTGTCCGGCGACGCGCTCACTTGGCCAGTCCGTCAAGGCACGTACCGTTATTTGCCGGAGAGGATCGGAGAGATGGAACCCTTTTCGGTGGCGGACGCTCTTGGCTGTTCCGTGCCGGGCTAGTGGGCGGTTGACCATTCATTTTCATTGTTCCAATCCTATCCGTATTTTGATGGGACGGGCCATGCTGTGTCGTTTATAATAGGTTCGTTCCAACCTTGAGTCACAAACAGATTTCCAACTGTTTGTAAATCGTTGTCAACGCGCATGTCTGTTCAGAAACTGTTTCTGACGCTGGTTGGAACGAACCTAATAAAGTCTATGTTTCTGAATGAGCGTCAACCCGCTAACATCGCGGGACACGTTCCCCGCCGCCTAGTCTCAGGGGGGGGGGGATGCGAGGGCGCGCCTGTCTGAAGTAGAAGTCACTTTGCTACTCTACTCTTAAGGTAGAGGTACTCATGAGATGTAGACATGTAAATAGTTTATTTTAATAAAAAGATGTTTGCTTTTCCTTTTATTCTATCTTCTACAAGCTCTTGATAATTTCCATCGATATCTTGATTGTCGATCGGTTTTCTGCTTTGTTGGGAGAAATTAACACCGCTATACCTTTGTCTTGAATTTCGAACAACAGACATGCCTGATGAAGCTATTGTATATCGAAACACGTGTTGCGTGAAAATCTCACAAGGAAGTGTTTCTTAAAAACTTTCAAAGCTACGTATGTTTTATTTTCACAACAGCCAGCAAATACCTTTTCAGAGATTGTTAAGTACGTTCAGCGGAGTGTTTTATGCCTTGCAATTTGTTATTACTACATTGTATGTTATGTTGTCATTTTGTAAGCATGCCAAATGTCGTACCATATTTCAGAGTCATTACCATCTAAAAATATTTCCTTTCATGCCACGTAGTAACTGATTTATTAATGTGAGTTACCACCTGAAATCAAAATTTCTGATGAGTCGCAGATCGTTTAGTTTAGTTGCAGTTTTATTATAAACCTGAAAAATAAGGTTCGGCGAATTTGATAATACTACATTCCCAAAATTGGTACACATATATTCTGTTCAAAAAATAAATAAAAAAATTGTATCACTTCTATTCAAATGAAATACAACATTGTATTCTCCTGAGAAATTTCAAAATTGTACCTATAGTTAGCTAATCTGTATCTGTATCTGTAGAGTAGGGAGGGTGAGTGTAAGCCCACAGAACTTAGGCCACATGTGACCCATTGTACATCCTCCCGATGAGTTGTCCTCCTAGGTCATCGTCCATCCTGTCCTTTCCAGGAAGGTGGACAGGTCGCTGGGAGACATCTCCTTTATATCGGCAGGTGTAGGCCAAGACTCGCCGAACACACACTCTCTCATTGACGATAACTCCGGGCACTCGNGCACAGATGCAGAAGGCTGTCATTCTTGGCTCACTGCGCTTGATCAGGGCACATGATTCTCGAACCCAATGATCACTTACCCCACGGTGTGGGGAGTGGTCATTGGTTGATGATGCTGGCGCGCCCTCCCGAATGTATCGGGGCTTCGGGGGATAGGGCCTGACCAGCGCACACTACGGTGAAAAAAAAAGTAAAACATTAAAAAAAAAAACACAACCTGAAACGACTGGTGAATCTTTATTTGGCGCATGAGGGACTTGACTGAGTATATTGACATTTGGAGTAGATTTTTATACCAAGAGCCGACATGTAAGAAAGGCACTGAGCCGCATCTTCGTTATAAATAGTTGGATCTCAACGTGTAGCACATCAAAAGAAAGGAAAAAGAAATGTTGAATTCACTGACAAATAAAAAGCGACAAAGATGATGTCGGAAAGACACTAATTTACATCTTCCTCAATGAATGTTACTCAACGTGCAGCACATCGAATGAAAGAAAAAATAATGCAGAATTTATCTACAAAGAAAAAAACAAAGACGATGCCAAGAGGGCACTAAGTTGCATCTTCGTCATTAATAGTTGTATCTCAACTTGCAGCACGTCAAATGAAAGGAAAGAGAATTCAGAATGTATCGAGAGGTCAGTAAAATGTAGGCCTTACGGTTGAACCGGTGAAATTCTTTCAATATCGAAATTCAAAAAAATTCAACTATGAAGCCATCAAATTCAACTTGACTAGAATTCTTTTTTTAAGTATTTATGAAACTGCTGAAGTGGACATGAAATTAAACAATCTTGTTGACGATTTTACTCAATTATTCAACCGGCATGCTCCGGCATGAAACTGAAACATATATTCGAAACTAATCTTTTTGTATTATTGTTTACCTTGTATTCACCAATCATACACATTTGGAATCAGTTCAGCATAAATTGAATCAAGAAATAAAGTGCTTCACTTAAAAAGCGTGATGACGCCATTACACGAAATATATTGAGCTATTTTTTCAAATTTTGGAAATATTCATTTTGTCATTAACGGATTCATGTCTTGCTTCATGGACAAGGTATATGTAGTAATAATTAGGTACTGTATAGGTACAATTTACTGAAAACAGAATTTGATACCCATTCTTGTTTACTTTATTTGTATTTTATTATTATTCTTTCATTATAGCCACGAATTACTCGATGCAAACCGATATGCGGACTGATGAGAACCCAAAGCATTAGAATTGATATTAAAAATACATATGTACAATTCCATAAAAAGTACACACCGAATGATTTTTTGTCTTTTAATTGAAACGAATCCTTCTCTCCTTCCTTCAACGTTTCCAATTAATATTAATGACGGTTCGTAACTGAAATAACCAGTTTTCCTCAAGTATGATTCAAAGAAACCGGTAGGCATTTAGAAATCAGGAAATTATTAGTAAATCTTGCAGTTAAATACCGTGTAACTAACGTTACGTTGAAGATTTATGTTACATAGAGAGACATTTTTCAAGCCAGCCCATAGAAACTGTATAAGGTTATTCAAGATGTTCTTGGATGCTTGAAGGAAAGTATTATACGTTAGTGGTCACACTTGATGAATTGTGTTTTCTATCTCAGCTGGCTGATCACCGAGAAGGTACTAGGATTTCATCACTTTCCATTAGGTTGTTTCTAAAGTTTTGTCGGTTTTAATGTCATATGTTTTTGTAACTCCACATCTCAATGAATATTTATTCTACTGTGTCGTGGTGTATACTGATCAATATTGATTTGTGCAATTGGCAATGTGCACAAGTCTATATGCAGTCCATCTAGCCTCTCTCTCCAGAAAAATGTGGCGAGGAGGTCGATCTAGAAGAATCTCCATAGCCGCTGACGGTGTAGTACTGATGGTAACAATGATGGCCAGATAAGCCTGTCTCTGTAAGCCACAGATCTTCACCTGGGCCGTTTTCTGTAAAGCCTTCGGCCATTAGGCAATTGCACCTGACTCGAAAACGTACCAAAACTTTTGAAACAATCTTCATTCTACATGTCGTAGATGATGTATTTAGGGCTACAGATCAAGGTTTATGTACGGCACTGGCATTGCTCGACTTTAGTAGGGCTTTTGATACCATAAACCACGACTTATTACTAGTTATTCTCCATTTCTTAGTGCTTTCAGTTGGAGCGTATCACTATTGCGTGAATATCTCAGTAACAGGCAACAGAAAGTCAACATCAATAGCAACTGCTCTCAATACCTCACTTTGAAATCTGGAGTTCCCCAGGGATCCACACTGGGTCCTTTACTGTTTACAATGTACACCGCTAACATTTTTAAATGTCTTGAATACTGTTCTACACATTTGTATGCGGACAATCCAGCTTTACTATGATTTTCTATCGTCCAATGTAATTGATGCTGGTACGAAAATAAATACTGATCCGGAATCATTCGTAAAAGTCGCTACTGACCATTGTTTATTCATTATTCCAAGTAAATCAATTATAATTGTTTCTACACCAATGAATGATCGAAGTATTATACACGATATGAACATCACGATTTATAGTGAAAAACTCGAAAAAGTGAATGAATGGTGTTTTGTTAGATTTAAATTTAAGTTTAAAACACACATAAACAAACTGATCCAACGAGCATACATCCATAATTGAAGTTAGATAAAATTAGTTACGGACTACAAGTGAAGATAGCTTGAGGTTGAGTGGAAGAACAAGTCATCAGTAATATTCTCGCTGGATTAATCAGAGATATAAAATACATTAGAAATGTTGAGAGGCTCAATAATATTCCATTCATTCCAAAATTTTTACTTACATTAGGTACTGAGTAGCTATTGTAGTCTTTTGAGTTGATACTTTCTCCTTGCTTATTTCTAAACGCCCTGTAGTTTTCTCTAAGTTGTTTTCCATACTGAAACAAAACAAATATATTTGAAGATTTTATTAAAAATATTTTGTTTCTGGAATGGAAGAAAAAAAAATTCAAATGGTGCTTGCCAGACTATAACCCGTACCAGCTTCAAGTTAACGGAATCAAGAGTGAGGAAAAATTGTTTTGAATAGATCTGCATATACAATGCGGACGAAAGATATCCTACTCGGACAATTTTTTTGTAAAAAACAATCATTTTTGATACTGATGTAGAGAAGTGTGACTTCACCGCCGAGAGAGCGGTAATATAGCCTGAAAGGTAGCCTAAAGGCCAACCAAGGTTGGCCACAATTTCTTGAATCCGTCTGTGACTGATGATTTGAAGAATCTTTAAATATGAATCATCAGTCAGATTTTCCTCTAGACATATAATGAACAACAATATAATTTCCTAATATTCCTGCCCTGACATTTATTTTCTCAGGAGTGTGGCGTTCTAGAAAAATATGTGGCTTCATTCCTTTCTTATGGAGTAGTTTCTCAAAATGGCGTTCATTTTTGAAGTTTCAAGTATTTATTTCTAATCATTTTCTATATTTCAGTACAGTAGAATGAATCTAAACTTTCCCTGTATAAGTATCGGTCTTGACCTCGTCGTTCTATTTTAAAAACTCAGATGTGTGCTTCAATTACTCCACTGATGTTCTCCATTAGCTGGTGAAATGAAACACACCATTCATCAGCATAGACAAGTGATAAATTTAGTGTCAGGCGAAGTGTTGGCTTTAGATTTTTGGCAGTATCCTTAGCGGGATTTTTGTTAATTCACTCCAATCACGCCAAGAGCCATGATCAAATCAAATCAGGCCAACAGACAATATTAACATTCATCGCTTTACCAGTCAGAGTTGATTTGTGATTAAATCAAAAGTTACCACAATGTAATACACTGTTTTTTCGTGTGAAAAAAAATCATCGTGGACTGTTCAAAATATTCACAGTTCCAGCTGTTCAGCATGTTTAGTTTATTGGTGAAAGGCATAAAAGTTAGTAGCTTCAAAAACTACACCTCTCGATTTGATCTCCACTAACTTTATTTGAAAAATATATCACTGTTTCGCCAGCACAGTAGCTTCATCAACTGATTTGAATACTTCAAGTTGTTTCTTACACTAATATTTATATACTACAGGTAACCATAATTGAGGTTATGAGCTTATAATAGCATGATTTACAGAGTAGTCAATGTTCCTCTTTCAATAGATAATTTCAATAAAGAACTCAATATCATCAAGCAAATTGCGGTTAACAATGGATTTAAAGCCAAATCAATAAACAAAATACTTGCCAAAAAAGTCTACGCAAAAGCGATTCGAGACGTTTTTCTTATTGATAAGGTAGATAATAAAAATTATAGAGCTTCAACATATTTTGGACAACCAACGGAAAAAGTGGTTTTATTTTTGAGGAAACAAGATATTGAAATTGCATATAGAACAAGTAATATGTTGGGAAAGTTAGTTAAAAATAATGAAGACAAAACATCCAAATTCCAGAAATCAGGAGTGTCCTAAGGTATACAGGGCTTTTCATGATGAGCGTTAATTAGCCGTTCTGACAAACTATTTAACGGATCAACCTGAAAATTTCATAGTATGCATAAATCAATATGACCTACACGCCTAAAATATTTCAGACGAAGCGGCGTTGTCGGTTCTACTATAAAGTAGCGGCTTCTTTGATTTTTCAAATGGAACACCCCGTATATAATAACATATTATGATTCATTATCACTTTGTCAACAAATTACTATTTTCCTATACCTATCTATTACCGTTCAAAAGATATAAATTAATTTCGATATTTTTTTTACCAAACATGAACTTTTATAAATGCTGATAATCTTGAACTCTCTTGCACTAAAACGATCAAATTTGAAATGGAGTGGAGTGATACTATGAGGATCTTCACTCCGAGTCATATTTTCATTTGCCTCATACAGGGTCTTCAAAAAATGCAGATACTTTGATCTCATGGAAAAATGAGTGGACTCAATTTTTTCAAATGGAACACCCTGTATATTTCAACATTTTTGAGCTCTACATCCAATTTTGGATTAACTTTGTTCAGATAATACTATTTCTATTTTGAACCGTTTTCGAGATAAACTGTTTCAAACGGAAACTGACGAGGTTTTCTTGCTCGTTTTTTTGAATTCATCACCCATTTTGGATATTCAACATTTTTTTTATACTTAGTAATATTTCTTTTTGAACCAGTTTTTCAACTGTCTCAGATCAGTCAATTCGAAATTGGTATGTACCTACCTTAGAAAAAGTTAAATTTGTATACATCGAGGTATTGGTCTCTAACGTACAAAAGTACACAATAATATTTTTTAATAGTGTGCTTTGGAAAAATAAATAAAACAATTATTTAACATCAGACTTTCGTTGGTGGTTTTGACTGATTGTGATAGCTACCAATTATAATAGAATAATGTCAAGATTGAAGTGAGTTTTCATTTTTCTCAAAAACGATTGAGAACGTGAAAACCGATTCGGTTTTCACTGTCTCAATCGTCACATAACGCCGTCCTTTCGTGGGTCTCTTCAATCTTGCAAACAGGAATAAGTCGCATGGGGGCAAATCTGGTGAATACGGTGGTTGGGCCATGATGACGGTGTTGTTTCTGGTCTAAAAATAACGAACAGGCAGGTGCATTATTTTGATGCAAAAGCCACGAATTGTTTTTTCACAATACCAGAGGTTTTCTGCGTATCAAGTCAAGTTAAAAATGTTTGTTAAACTTTTGGATGAAATTACAAAATATTTGTGATAGTGTATTTTGTGTGGGGCCCTGCTATAGGCTCATGCCTCTTCAGAGTTAGTGGGTTGTGTGTTTGTTGTTTTGTGTAATGATGTCTAGTGTATGTAAGCCTACTTTCTATAGATAACCATTCTAGAGTATTTAACATTGAAGATATATGGGCACTCCTGTCACATCTCAAAATAATCCTCATTGCGCGATTCTGTAGTTTTTGTACTGTTCTCATTTTATTTAAATCAGTTGTGTATAGAAGAGTGGGGCAATATTCGAAATGTGTTTGTATAATGGTATTATATAGTTATCCGTGATTGCATAGTTAAGTGTTGAGACACTCTTGTGCAAAAATATAAATTCTCCAATTTTTTTTCTATATGTAAGTGAAATGGTTATTCATTGACAGATGCTTGTCCAACATGAATCCTAGATATTTGAATTCAGTAATGAGCTCAATTCTGTCATTTTCTATTTTTATTTAAATTCGATTTAAATCTAATTCTCTGTACTTAAACGGTGTAGTAAGCCTTTGTTTTGTTGACATTTAGCTTCAATTCATTAGTTTGCTTCATTCAATGCTTCAATTCATTTTTTGGATAGCTTCATCTATATCTTTATCACTAACCAATACTAGAGCATCATCAGCAAAATAATGTTCATAATCACATTCATCACATTGGCTGATATTATTGATGTAAATTAAGAATAGCAATGGCCCTTGTTTAGTATTATTATTATCTGTTCATTTTATAGATCATACTTATGTTCGATGTAACGAAACGTAGAGTTAAGAATACATTGAAAATTCGACTGTTTTCCAAAATGATTCAATGTGACCTAGTTTCTTCTTCTTTCTTTGTTGACTCCGCAGCTATCGACAAAACCAACCCCATTAAATATTCAACGGACACCACTGTGTGTTTCAACTGGGTACAGGGACCATAAAACTTTTTAGTGCTTTTTAAATGCAGTTTAATCGGTGGCTATTTTCGGATAAAAATATACACAAACCAGTCTGCTGGGTATCGAGCCAAGCCAAATCAGTTGAACTTTTGGTTTTCGNATTAGAAGAAATGGCCGCAGTGGAGATTATTTCTGTGTGGGCGACCAGAATGAGGATTCCAACCGGTTAACTACCATTATGTGAATCAACTATAATGGGACAAACCGTTGCAGAGGAAGCATTTAAATGGAATTGAAAGGAATCTTAATGTTTACCCGGTCTAGTAGTAGTTCTAGTTGATTTATATGAACCTGATAGTGAGGATTCCACATAACAGATGCATATTTCAGCTAATATCGAACAAAAGTGAAACAAAGTAATTTTAATGTTGAAGCTTTTTCGAAGTCTTTTGTATTTTTAACTAAGAATCCATACATGCGATAAGCAGCTGTCAGACTAGTGTCAGTATGTTTATTGAAAGAGAGAAATGAATCAAAAGTAACACATAGATCAGTGAGTGTGTCAGGACGCTCCAGAAATTGATTGTTTATGACGTAGTTGTGTAATGTCAGATTCGTTTTCAGTGAGTAGGACATTACATTACATTTGTATATGTTGAGAGATAGATTATTCTTCCGACACCACGTAGTAACACGACTTAAATTCAGGGCGAGACGTTCGCAATCATTAGAACATGTTATATTATGATAGAGTTACAAGTCATCTACGTATGAAAGGAAATTGACATCAATCTCAGCCCCGATATCATTGATGAACATATTGAACAGTAGGGGTCCTAGATTTGACCCTTGTGGTACACCAGATGTGGCTACATATTCGACAGATTTGAGGCCATTGAGTTGGACATACTGCTTACGGTTGTGGGAATACGATTTGAAGAGGGTAATTAAGTCATTGGATAACCCATAAGTTGAAAGCTTGTTGAGAAGGATACTATGGTCAAGTATGTCGAACGCTTTGGAAAATTCAGTGTAGATGACATCAGACTGAGACTGACAATCAATACCTTCCGCAATACATTGAGTGATTGTTACAAGATTAGTCCTTTCATGAAACCGTGTTGATTGGGGCTAATAATGTTGCTATCATGACAGTAGATTGTCTTCTCAACAAGCATCTCAAACACTTTACAAAAGTTGCATATGATAGAAATTGGTCTGTAATTTTTTATCTCACTTTTATCTTGTGTTTTGACAATTTGGCAGACTTTCGACATTTTCCATACTGATGGTACAGTTGATGTTTTCAGGC